GACATGGGTGTCGTACTGGTCGGAATTAATTTCCATTGAAAGAGCAGTGATACATACCATGCAAGATGATGAAGGAGAAACAAGATTTATTAATTCTTTTCTGGAACTACGTCACTACTAGTAGAATCACTACAAACGTTATCACTTTCTACGTCAGAGTCAGTATTCCAGGTGCCAAAATAAAACTCTTCATCGTTACTTTCAGATTCGCAGTACACTTCTTTCGGTAACTTTCTTTTTGCCATTTTGGAGGATTATTTTGAAATATCTTAACAAGCGAGAATGCCTAATTACAGTTAAACGTAATTTGTAAAGCTTTATTTGAAATTCTGCGAAGTATCTCCGAAGCTTGTCGATTTCTTCACTCTCAAAAGGCGACGGACTCGCCACGGTGTTTTGCATGGCGAGTGTGGAACGACCGCGTTTGTTTATATTGAGTTTCGATATCTCCGATTTGTCGGGGCAATGTTTTGGTTCGTGACAAGGTCGCTTAGACACTTAAGAGCTTTCAGAGAAATTATGAACTGATACATGAATGAATAGAGTTAAGATTCGTACGGTTCCTTGCTGTGGTGGCTGAGAGCAGACATACGACCTGAACGGTAAAAAAGCTTTGGTGGCTGAGAGTAGACAAATGACCTCAAAGGGTTAAATATATATAATTTTATTGATTTCAGAGAGGAAGGGAGAAGGAGAGAGAATTAGAAACATCAATGATGAGAGAGAATCATTGATTGGCTGCCTCCTGCACGTTCCCTTTTGGGGATCGAGCCCGCAACCCGGGCATGTGCCCTTGACCGGAATTGAATCTGGAACCCTTCAGTCCGCAGGCAGACGCTCTAGCCACTGAGCCAAACCAGCTAGGGCGAGTCTCAATAGTTTTGATTAGTCTCAGGCCTGCTTCCTAGGCCTGACAGGCCATCTGCGTTCATCATGTCTGCTTCAGCGAGCAACTAGACAACCAGGTGGCGGGACCCGCATTTTATAGAAGAGAGACATCTTGGAACCTGACCGAGAGGCTGCAGTCAGTAGGTGGTGGCTGAGCTGGGACTCAACCCAGGCCTGCCTGGTCCCCAGCATTGGATCGAAATCATTTCTGCTGAGGCAGAAAGGGGGGCTGGGTGGGCACTGGGCTGCCCTGGGCTGCCCTCTCCCGGGGTTTGGGGTGACACGGGGGCTCCTGAAGCATCCTGTGTCTGCAGAACCAAAGGCCACGGTGGGAGGCAAACTTCTGAGGTCCTTCCCTCCCGATTCCTGTCCCCTGGTTAATCAGTCAAGCACTGCTCTAGGGACGGCTACAAGGGACTTAAGATGGAATCAAGGTTATTGATTACGAGACTTGAAGATGGGGGATTATCTGGGATTATCTGAGTGTAAGCAGATGAGCCCTTAAAAGCCGAAAAGGAAGGCAGAAGAGGCGGCTGGAAAGCTGTGGCAGGAGGGAGGGTAGGCTCCAAGTGTGAGAAGGATTCGAGGCTCTGGTGCTCTAAGATGTGGGGGCACAAGCAGGGACTGGAGAGAGGCCCCAGGAGCTCATGGAAAGTGTGGGAAGGAACGTGGGCAGCCTCGGGGAACAAAGACCAGCTCTCCCCCCCCCTACTGCCCCCCACCCCCACCCCAAGGGAGATCTCAGTCCCGCAACCACAAGAAACCGATTGTTTGCAAACCAAACCGATTGTTTGTGGACATCCTGAATAAGCTTGCATACAGCCTGCTCACCTATAGGGCTGTGAATTGACAAGTGGGTATGATTTCAAGCCACATGTGTGGCAATTTGTCACAGTAGCAATAGAGGGCTGATAGGATCTGGGTGAACAATATGTCCTGTTTTGGAAACTTTTGCTGTAGTGGGACCTGTTTGTCCAGAATTGCTGAACTGTGGCAGGAGGTCACAGTCCGTAGGTTTCTTGGATGCCTCTGTCCAGAGAAAGGAACCCTTGAGCTCAGGCACCTCGCTGGCCAGGGAGGGCCACTCCGGCTTCCCCTTGTCCCCTGTGGGGCCTGCAGCCTGGAGCTCAGGTCTGGTTTTCTCCTCACGACCTCTGCGCTGGTCCCAGGGGAAGCTCCTTTTGTAGCCCGTGGGAAGGAGGTGATCTGTGTTCGGCTCTGTCTACGCAGTACCACTTGGCTCTCCTTCCTGCCGGGAGTCGGTCGCCTGTGGGTGGGTGGGAGAGGGTTCATGCTAACAGCAGCCGGGACATGGGGGAAGGGCTGACGCAGAAGGCCCCTCGCAGCTCTGCCTTCCCCGATTTTGGGGTGCCTGGCGTGGCTTCGCTGCAAGGCGGCTGGCTTGTTGATGAGGCATCGGAGGCCCAGAGGAGTGGCACCACCTCCCGTGTCACACGGTTCTTTGGGTGTGAGCTTAGTTTCCCAAGCCCCAAAAATCCCATCCGGAGGGGTGGGGGGCTTGCACACGTGTGCTCTCAGCACAGTTGAATTCGGCCACGAACTAGAATCAGCCTGAGCAGCCTGCCCCGTCCTCTGACCACCGGGGGCTGGGAGTCATTGGCCAGGGGCTGGGAGAGTGAGGCCGGGATCCCAGACACCCGCCCCCCCCCACCCCCCACCCCCCAGCACCAGGCAGGATTCTCAGCTGAATGCAGAGCTGCCCCTGTGTGTACTTTCTCCCACCACTTTCCCGGCCCCTCTCTTTGCTGCGACATGGACCAGGTTGCAGAATCTCTCACTCCTCTGCTAGGAAACAGTCCTCCTGCCTGCGGGCTCCCCGGCAGAATTCAGCTTGTGGAACAGAGGCGCTTTCATTGCTCCAGCCGGCCACCCTCACTTTGCTGGAGCCTCCTTTGTGTCATGCCTGGAAGGAGCATGGGCTTGGAGCGCCAGGGTTTGCTGGCGCCAGAGCGCACCGGGCCGCACACGGCGGCTTTGTTCCTGAGCCCCGCGTGGAGCCTCGGAAATGCCTGCGTGGGTGAGAGTGAGGGGAGGCTGGAAGCACGGCAGGCGGCCAGGTGCCCAGATTCCTTTTCCCATTGGGGTGTCATCACTTGGCTCAATCCAGGCCTGGATTCCCCCTTTTGCTGGCTGTGTGACCTTCAGAAAGTTACTCACCCTCTCTGAGCATTCTTGTCCTCAGCTGTAACCGTACCCAGCTGAGAGGGGGTGGTGGCATCAGTTACAGCTCCCAAAGCACTGGACGGCTTTCTAGCCTCAGGGAGAGCCTCATTGTCTTCGTACCAAACCCCTTGTTGCCTTCACGATGCTTATTCTGCAGATTCACTCGGTGCCTGCCAGGTGCCAGGACCAGCCCATGCTCCCAGGAACTCATACACCCGTGACAGTTGAGTGCCGCACAGATGCTGAAGGAGGCGTGTGTGTGTGTGGGGAGGGGGTGTCAGATACCGAGGGGCTCTTCCAAGTTGCACCCCGGGAAATAAATGCCACTGGCTAGGTGTCTGCAGAGCAAGGTTTCCCGGCGAAGGAGGCTGGGAAATGCTGGCATAGGGATGTTACGTTGGAACCAAGAGAGGGGCCAGACTCTGAGAATCTGGACTTGCTCACGTCGATGGCAGTGGTTGTTCTGAGGAGTTAATATGTACCTGGCACGGAGGTGAGTGCCTTCCGTGGATTCTCTCACTTTGCAGAATCCGGTCATTGGGGTATGCCGTTCTTTGTAACTGTTGCTGTCGATGGACATTTAGGTTGTTTCTTGATTTGGGGGCGCTGAAGGCTGGTCCTTTCACTTCAAGGGGGGCTTCGCAGGACAGTGGACTATTACTCAGCCGTAAAAAGGAGTGGCGCTCTGACTCGTGCTGCCAGATGAAGGAACCCTGAGGACCTTCTGCCACGTGAAGTAAGCCAGGCAGAGAAGGACAGATGCCATACGATTCCATTCACATGAGGCGCTGAGAGTGGTGGATTCAGAGATAGGAAGTAGGCTGGCCCTCGCCGTTTTGGTTTAGTGGATAGAGTGTCGGCCCACAGACCGAAGGGTCCCAGGTTCGATTCCGGTCAAGGGCACGTACCTCGGTTGCAGGTTCGATCCCCGGCCCTGGTTGGGGTGTGTGCAGGAGGCAAGCAATCGATGTGTCTCTTTCACATCAATGTTTCTCTCTCTGTCTCTCCCCTCTCCCCCCTCCCTCTTCCTCCCTTCCACTCTCTCTAAAAATCAATGGAAAAATATCCTTGAGTGAGGATTAAAGAAAAAAAAAAAAAGTCAGCTGGTTGGTTGCGTGGGGCTGGCGGAGGGGAGGAGGGGGAGTTGTTGAAAGGGGACCGAGTTTCAGTTCTGCAAGATGCAACGCCTTCTGGAGGTTGGTTGCACAACGGTGTGAATGTACTTAACACTACCGAGCCGTACCCTTAATGATGCTTAAGACGGCACTTTTTAATGTTACGTTTCAAAAATCATAATAAAACAAAAATGCTACTTTGACAGAAGAAAGTCGTGTGAGAATTAAAACGCACCAATCATGCAGAATAAGGTCCGGAGTTGTCATCATATTCTTAAGGGAGGCCCCCAATTTCTCGCCGTCGCTTAAGGTGGGGGCATCCTTAAAGTTCCTGGAGCGTGGAGCAGGCACCGAGGTGGAGAGGGTTTAAGAGAAGCGTGGCGTTACACATCCGTCAGTCCTTGAATAACACGTTTGTGCACCCTGTCGCGGTAGATCGATGCGTGTCTTCCACAGACCGGGCACGCCAGCCCAGGGGTCCCAGGTATCTTCCTTCCGGGGGAGGTGTCATCCCGTGAGCTGTGGTCGTGTGTTTATTTGCTCAGCGCCGCTTCCAGGCGGGTTTCAAGGCAGGTAGCGAATGAGACCGGGCGCTGCATCGACCCCTGGTCGTTCGGATGGAGCTTCGCCGCAGTCCTGTTGCCGAAACCGAAACCGAGGCATTTGGTTGGCAGGACCCCGGCTCAGCTCGCAGGACGCAGTTGTCAGAATTTGTAACCTGAATGCACATCATCTCGGGGCCCTTATTTCCTGAGGGTTTTGCCCCTTGTTTCAGACTCTGAGTAACCGTGCTCCTCTCTGCACTGTCCGTAGACGCCCCGTGAGGAAGCCCCGCTGGTGTGCCGGACCCACCGGGGGCCGTCCGCCCGACGGCGCCAGTCTCCGGCAGCGGGACCCCCGATGGCAGTGGGCACCTCCCCGTGAAACCTGCCAAGCTGGACGCCACAGCTCTGCACGCCGACACTTTGGCCAACCCTGTGCCCTCTCCGGAGGCGTGCCAGCATGCAGTCCTAGCCTGCAGCCCGGGCCTCCCCGAGGAGCACTATGTGAGTGAGGCTGCGGAAGATGCTCCCAGCTACAGAGGGTACCGGGATGCCTGCACCATCACAGGTAGGGCCCTTTTCCTGCCAGGAGGCAGGGAGGGAGGGGGGGAGGACTGGGAAGGGGGCGGCCACGGGACTGGGAGAGGAGAGTGGGGGGTGGGGAGGGAACCACTAGACTCTGAGCTTCGGGATGGTGAGACGGGCCATCGGGAACTGGCCTGCCTGAGGTGGAGACAGCCCTTCAAAGACTTGTCCACAGTGATGCTCGGTGCAGTGTGGCCCGTGCCCCTCTCTTTGAGGCTCAGTGTCTCAGGCACACGGTGGGTGTCATGGGAAGGAGACACGGTGGCGCTGTCGGGTGCAGGCATGGGGACTGCACGCAGGGCCCTGTGTACACTGGCCAGATTTGCCCCCATCGGTCCTTCCGGGGGCCTGTCAGTCACGCCTTCCAGTGTCCCGGGAACAGGGTAACCCCTCCCCGTGCAGGCGGCGTCGTGCTTGGAGCCCGCGCCAGTGGACCCCGGTGGCCGTGGTGCAGGCTGGTGTGTGGAGCGGCAGCCAGGAGTGTAGTTAAGGTAAACCAGTCGCATGCGCACTGCAGTTTGCTTTGTTCCTCAGTTTTGTCTGCAGGGTTTGCTGTCACCCTCCTGTTTGAAATAAAGCCCAATGACAGTTTCACACCTGCAGGTCTGCCGCATTCTGACCGTGGCCTGGCAGGGTCTCAGTGACGGGTGCCCCCGGCCCTGTGACCCGGCCCCTCTGCGCCCGCCCCACTCCGGGCGCACTGGCCTCCTCGCTAGTCCCGGACCCACGGAGCCTCCCTCCTCAGGGCGTCTGTTCTGGCAGCCCCCCGGCATCTGGGTCGCCCTACCCCCACCCCCCCCATGTCCCCATGATTCCCTCTTCACTTTCTCCGAACGGCATTTCACTAGAAATGTGAGCACCCTGTAGAAAAAGCGGTCCCCCGACCTCTTCCCACCTCCCTTTCCACTTTGTCTTTCTCCCTAGACTTAGCCGTGAGCTGCACTCGCAGAATGTAAATAGACTGTAAACTAACCTCAGGGCAAGGACCTGTGTGCTGCTGCAACAGTGCCTGCATGTGGCCGGTGCTCAAGAGACATTTGTTGGGTAGATAAATTGTCATTTAATTATTACTGCATCCCCGTGAAGGGGTGGGCGGGGGCGTTGCCCCCTTTTTACAGGTAAAGACTAAATCATGAATGGTTCAGCATCCTGCCCAAGATCCCTGAGGGGGTGGGACACGCATCCAGGTCACAACCCTGGGGCACGTGTCCTCTGTCATCCAGGAGTTTAGTCTAGTTGGAGTGGAAACTGGGTGTGCACTGTGGTTAGTACAGTGATGGGCACGGGCACACGGGAGGACACCAAGGAGGGTGCCTGGCCAAGCCTCAGAGGGGAAAAGTTAGAGGAAGACCAGGAGGGCTTCCCGGAGGAGGCGGTGTCCCAGCTGCATCTTCGTTTGCCCAAACATGTGAACTAATCCCTGGGATTCGTGCGGCGTCTGTGCCAGTGAAATCCAGGAAACGCCCAGCCTATTGGGCAGGTTCGCTTTCTCTGAACGTGACAAGCGAGGGCGAAGACATGGCCGAACGCAGAGCTGAAACCTCAAACCGTGCAGGGCATGGGGACTGGTGTGCCTCACGGGACACCTGTGGCCAGCTCTGCTGTCACGTTTGGCGGCGGCTCGGTAAACAGGAGGGCAGACACGGGCAGTGTTACCTGTTGGAGGTGCCGGCAGCCAGACCCTGCAGATCACGCTCAGGTTCAAGTCTCAGTAGATGCTCGTTGAGAGAAAGACACGAAACGAAAGACATTCCGGGAGCCACGGGAGGGAGTGGCCCCGAGGATGCATGGGTGGAAGCCGAGGGCCTGGCCACGGCCGGGCCGGGGAGACCACTTGGCATCTGGCCTCCGCTAAGGACACTCCGCCCCCTGTTCCCAGGGAGCGCTGAGCTGGACAGGAGACTTTTTGTTCCTCTTTGATTTTTCGGCAAAGCCCAGTGCCCATCACCCTTTTAACCCCTACCCGGGGATATCACATTTTCGGGTGCGTCATCTTCTGTGTGGGGCGGTTTTACAAGATGAGCCGATAAGGTGCCCGGGCCGCCGGGAGTTACGTAACCCATTGTGCGTCCGGGGCAGGTCCCGGGCTCAGGATTCGCCCCGACAGGCAGGCTGGGAACCGCGCGGGGGAAGCGTGGGAGTGGCGGTGCCGAGGCTGCCCGGCTGGGCTCCCGCGGAGAAGAACCCTTCCCTCTCGGCATCGCCTGTGGAGCGTCTTTCTGCACATGGCCTTGGTGTTTCCGGACAGGCAGCCCGTGGGGGCCCGGCCTCGGCCAGGCCTGTGCCAGGGCGAGCCCGTGCGGACAGACTCTGGTGGTAAGTGTGTGTGTGTGTGTGTGTGTGTGTGTGTGTGTGTGTGTGTGTGTGTTTGCCTGTTGGGCCGCTGTTTTCGCTGTGATGTGGCCGGAAAGGAGAAAGGACCACAGGGGCCATCGTTTCTCTCCTGCTGTGTGCTGGCCAGGTTGTCCTCGAACATGAGACGGGGAAATGGCCAGGTTGAATCATGGACGTGCAGAGCAGAGGGACCTCAGTGGCTGCTCACCCTCGTCCTCTCATCCAGGCTTGGGAGGCAAGGGATGCGGGGCCAGGGGACCAGGTCTGAATTGGGACCAGGCCTGCCGGACTCCCACTCCGTTCCCTTGACAGTCTTTGCAATGGCTGAACGGGGTCTCCGAGGTCCCCGCGATTTTCCTAAATCCTGTGTCTTTATCCTGGTTTCTTAGAGCCCTGGTTGGTGTCTGGGGCACCAAGGAAGTTTCCAAAAGGTGAAGAATAGCATTAGACTATGCCTCCCTCCTTCCCTCTTTTCCGCCCTCACCTTTAAAACAAAAAAACACTACCTGTGCTTGGCCCTGGCCCTCTGACCCACCCACCCCCGGTGATGGAGAGCTTGCTAAGCAGTTCTGCTCTGGCTCGTCTCCCGGGGGTGGTGGTGGGGCTGGTGTTCCTCCTCGCCTCCTCGGAGCTGAGCAGAGTCTGCTGCTGAGCCATCTGGCTTCTGTCCTGTCTAGATGCTGTCCCCCCAGGCTGTCTGGGCCGCAGAGCAGTGAATCCCTAGGAGGGTGAGCTCTTCTTGTCCCGTGTAGTAGTTTTCGGTGTCAAGACCTACGAGACATTGCATGAAAGAAGCTATGGAGATTCTCTGAGTGTGTGTGTGTGTGTGTGTGTACCCATGGCTTCGGGTGTTTTCTGTGATTCTGTTCAGCCAGCGTCTCTTCAAGGCCAGCTTTTTTTGGGGGCCACGGAGAACTGGTCGGGGTCCCGGAGCCCTGGAGGTGGGCACAGGTGTGAATGACCAGCTGTGACCCGTTGAGAATGGCTCCGAGTGCCTCTGGGGCCAGCCCTGCCTGGGCGTCCTCTTGTTCATGGGGCCACCGTTTAGGATTTGTTCCCTGTCTCTCGTACGTTAAACTGTCAAACTCGAGGATTTGTTGTCTGCCAACATGCGCAAATAAAATATCATGGACTTCTTTTAAGAGTTAAATTTAAGGTCTTGCTCATCAGTTCCTGTCTAGAACAAAATTCTTAACGTGTTTTCCATTGAAAATTTACCATCTAATTCAGTGGTTCTCAACCTTCTGGCCCTTTAAATACAGTTCCTCATGTTGTGACCCAACCATAAAATTACTTTCGTTGCTACTTCATAACTGTAATGTTGCTACTGTTATGAATCGTCATGTAAATATCTGATATGCAGGATGGTCTTGGGCGACCCCTGTGAAAGGGCCATTCGACTGCCAAAGGGGTCGCGACCCACAGGTTGAGAACCACTGACCTAATTGCTACTTACTTGACTAAATCGAAACAGGAAAGAGTGGACCGCTGAAATGTCCCTTTTTTCACGGAGGGAGAAGATATGAATTAGAGTTTTGGGCGGAAAAACGTCATTCTACATTTGTAACTTAGAAATGTTGCAGATGTGACTGAGAAGTGTGTTTTGGCTGCTTCTCTCCATGGAATGACCCCTGTTTAACAGTTGATTCCTTTCTGCAGTGGCCATGCTGGAGAGGGGGCCCTATTATGTGGGTTTCTAGAGCTCATATGCTTTAGCAAAAACACAAAACACGTCTCTTTAAACGTGCTCTAACTGATTTTGGCATCTACCAGCTTTTTGCCTCCCCTCAGTTCCTCTTCATGAGGTAAGGGAGTGGGACTTTGCCACACTGGGTTTTTGACATAAAATGGAACATTTGGTGAAAATGTATTAGTGAGATCCTTGACATTTGATGTGGGCGGGGGGGGGGGGGAGGTACAGGGGGGGCTACATTTCCAGGTGTTTGATGCATTATCTTCTTCCTAATTGGTTTTTGTTCTGGGTCTGCAACAAGTCTGGAATGTATCTAATATGTTGGTGTTAACCTTTGCTCCCTTCAAACCACTTTGGGAAGCTGACAACTAATACATTCTAATAAGAACATCGAAGAGTAATCTTATTAAAGAACGAATCAGGAGTGCTCTGCAGGCCTTCAGAACATGGACCCCAGCCACACATACTGGTGGCATTCCCGATGGTGTTCCTTAAGACGCCAAGTTTCATAATGGATTGACGTTCATTTGATTTGCAAGTACAGGCGTGAGGGTCACCCCGGAAACACAACCGCTGTGTCAAGGGCTCTGTCTCTTCTCAATGTGACCAGATCGGGGTCCAGAGGCCGTTGCTGGGCAAGGGGCCAGGCACAGACCTGGGCCTTTATTTAGCCCCCCTGTACTTCCCACAACCGAGTTCTGCTGCGGGGCTTCCCGGGGATTCACCGAGGAGGGTGCAGGGGCGCCCCTGCCAGGATCAGGCCTCCCGGGTGGGTCTGGGTGGGCCCCTG